TTCTCTGTCACCTCAACCTTCTTTCACCAACTCATATCGTACTGGACCTATTCCTTCTTTCCTACTACACCAATCCCATTATCTACTTTTGTATGTATCTCATTAGCCTGTTTGGTGAACATTAAAATGAAAGAATACATTTTTTTTGAAGTGATGTGATGGAGAATGTGTGATTGAAAAATAAAGAAAAGTTATTGATGTGATAGAAAATATTATTTTATTGAAAAATGTGTGGTTGAAAATGAGTAGAAGAATGAGAATGAAAAAAATAATGTGACTCAAACATGGGCTTATTTTTGTAAGAAAATCGAGACACGTGAAACTAAAATAACATGATTTTCTAAAAATAATTTTTTACTACAAACCACGATTCTTATTTATATTTATATCTTTTTTGTCCCCACTATACAATGAAACGAAGAGGTGCGAAATAATTGCATCTTCCAAAGGAGTGGTAGTTCAATGGATTTTGCACGAGACACAGCAAAGAGAATCCGATATTCTATTCTATTGGATATACGCCCACGTCTCTTAGTCAGAAAATCAGCAACGTGGCCTTCTTTGATACGTTCAATATTATAAATTATTATTTAGTACAATTATTAAATAGTTTCACACTTTTTCGTGTTCAACATATTAATATTTTCGTTGGGACTCACGAGTCAAAATTCGTGGTTTGAACATGGCTCCGGTAAAAAATGGCTTGAACCGAGCAAAAATTTGATTGAAAATTTTTGGTTCGAACCTTATCGAGCCGAGAAGTCTCTATATTTTTTTCCCGATTTGTGTTACGCAGCTGTGCTGCCGTTTCAAAGGCAACACCCACGGCCTATATTATAGGTAGTTGTGCTGAATTTATAGTTGCTTGTTTCATGCAGCACACTGTAACATGGGCAAGAGTCGGCTCGGGCTCGTGCCAATGCTCAAAAATGAGGCTCGGCAGGAGCCGCGAGCCAAGCAACGAGCAATTAGATCGATGATCTAAATTGACATCCCTAGTTAAGCGACCACATATTATATTTTTTAGTTTTTTTTTTCTTGGTAGGGAGAATATGGTTAAATATTTTTATTAATTATTCTGCGATATACCTCTATTATTCTTCATGACCCATCTTTTTATACCCTAGGAAAAAGTAAAGAATAATTAACAAGATATTTACTTTTCATTTTTAATAACTTTTGAGTATAGACTAATCTAATGATCAAACACATCTAAATTCAAAGAGAACTCAAGTGCACAATAGAGTATTAGCTCTTATTTGGTAGGGTTTGAAATCTAAATTTTAATTTAAGTCAATTTCAATAATTGATTTTAACTACATATTTCATAGGACTTATAAAATTTCAATCACACATTTTAACAACTTTATTTAAAATTACTAAAAAATTGATCTTAATCTCCGCCAAACAGGGTTTAATTAGAAACCATTTACGTAATTTTCTTAAATAAAAATGAATTGCACCTCCTTGATGCTTGGAAACTATTTGTGGAAATAGGTAGATAGTGTTGCAGTATTTTCTTTGCACCTTATTTTTATTTTTTTAAAGTTAGCTATATGTACAAAGTTGAGTTACAAAGTTGGGTGACAAAATAATATCTACACCAATCATTTTAAAAACAGATTTTTAAATCATTTGAAATCAACGATCTGAATTTTGTCAACACACTTTGTAATCCAATTTTGGACAAATAGCTTTATTGATTTTTTTTTTTAAGGAACTTTGTTTTTTGTTGTTCAATGAAAACTTTGATATTATAAGAAAATAGAAAAACAGTTGGGATTTTTTTTTTTTTTTTTTCTTTTTGTCTCTTCAAGTATGTCTAAATTTTGAGTTAAGAGTTTTGAATTAAAGGATGGTGTAAATGTAGCAAAGTTGTAATTATATTACAGTGTCTCCGTGTTTCTTGCCTACTTCCAATCCCACCTATCACATCTCGTTCACATGCCCCTTAATAGCTGCTTCTTAGGCTCAATATTTTATTTCACTCCATTAATCCAATTTTTTCCATAAGTAAATACTTAGATGATGTTTAATGTACATTTTTTGAAATTAATTTTTAAAAAAGTAATAATTTTAAAAATATACGATAACGAAATATTTTATTAAAAAAACGTGTAATTGAAAATGAATGTTAAGTGAATTTTTAAAAGGGTGTTTATATTGTTACTAAAATTTTATTTGATACACTATATTTTAATTATAGTTAAATTCCTTAATCATTAATCATTATAATAATTATTTTATTAACTTTTTTCTGTCGAACTTTTATTTTCAACCTTCCATTAACTGGCATGTTTCGTTCTTAATGATTCATATTATAATATATTGTTTTCATGCTTTGAAACGAGAGAAAAATATTTTTTTTCACTTTTTATTTATTTATTTTAGAAATATGATAGAAAAAATAAGTTATTTTATGCAATTTCAATGAATTTTGGATATAAAATTATTATCAAATACAAAATGTACTAATTAATGAAAAATTTGAGAATAAGAATGGTATGAAAAAATATTAGAGATATAAGCATTACAATGATCAAAGATAAAACTTTAAATATAATTAAAGTGTGGGGCGAGGAATAAAAATTATGGTGTGAATAATTCCAATATTGTCCTTCCCGTTTTCTTTATAATCCCACTCTTTTTCTTTCGTTTTTCACAAAAAATCAGTCCCAACAAAACATGACGAACACTTCCTCGTATTTGACGATGTCTTCCATTTCCCTCTTCCTCTGCATCTCATTTCTAGCGATAACATATGCTTCCGACATGTCGATTATAACCTACGACGAAACAAACGGCCAATCGTTGCGCTCTCACGATGAGATGATGTCCATGTACGAATCATGGCTAGTAAAGCACGGAAAATCATACAACGGATTGGGAGAAAAGGAGAAGAGGTTCGAGATCTTTAAGGATAATTTAAGGTACATAGATGAGCAGAACAGCGTGGCAAATCGGACCTATAAACTGGGTCTGAACCGGTTCGCTGATCTGAGCAATGAGGAGTACCGGTCCATGTATTTGGGTACCAAAACCGACCATACACGGCGGGTTTCGAAGATGCAGAGTGATCGGTATACTCCGAAAGACGGAGACAGCTTACCGGATTCCGTTGACTGGAGAGAGAAAGGCGCCGTTGCTCCGGTGAAAGATCAAGGCAGCTGTGGTAAGCCCTCTTCTTATACCTTTTTTTATCATATGACGATAATGCCCTTGTTTTGTTGTTAGATTCTTTGGGATAGTTTTGCTTGTTATAGTACGCTTCACATCATTGAACTGTACAATGATAATGAAATTTAAAGAAAAGGGATCTCAGTTCTTTTGTGTCCGATGGTGTAAACATGTATACGGCTATTATTAGAGATCGAGTCAAATTTAATTGTAAAGTAACTTTTTCAATTTCTAAGTATATTGAGATGGATTATATTGTAATTAATTTGATTATTTTCAATTTTGACAAAATTATTCTTTTTTAAGAGTTACTTATTTACTTTTAAGTAAATTTTTAAGCTTAGTCAAACATGCACTCAATGTGAATTTTCATTTGGTTTGGATACCCCACCTACCCAACACACCTCGTGCATGAAGTCACTTTATTGCCGACCTAGTAATGTCAAGTGGGAGGCGTCTGATTTGGCTCCACTCCATTTAATTAAAGACCATGGCATAGACCTTGCTTTGTCGTGATAAAAATTAGATTTTTAGTAGATTTTTATAAAAGTCGGTGTATTGTTTGATTGAAAAGCTTATAAAAGAAGTGAGTCTCATAAAATGTACGGTCCAAAATGAATTTTAAGAAATACTATCAAATTGGGGTTAAATGAGTTCTTGATCAAAGGGGTTTATATATTAAAATACCAAAAGGAATCAAATTAATTTTTATCATATTATGATTGATATGTATAAACAATAATCAAAGGGTTAGTAGACTTATTTGATAAGTTAAGCATTTTTGACTCCTACAGGCCATCTCATTTCAAAAATGATTATGTTACCTAGCATATGTGGTTATTAGCATCAGTCTATGCTGCACTAGATCCCACCACTTTATTGTACAATAAAGTGTGATGTATCATTTATTGGACAATGAAGTGGTGGGGTCTAGTGCCACTTAAACTGGTGGTAAGCACTTCTAGTGATAGAAGATAGTATTGTTCTTCGAAAATTACAAATACATCTCCCTAGTTTTGTTTTGACATGTTCTTCACTTTAGTATTATCATTGCATTGTGTTTGAAAAAAAAAAAGTTTAATACTTAAGTTAGAACTGTCCTTGCAAAAATAAGATAAACGCTTCATCTTCTCGGTGTCCCCATGCTAGCCTCCCTCCAGATATGGAATAAGAGAGTGTTTGTAATAGTTAGATACCCAAGTTTCTCTAATCTTTAGAATTATCTCATTTTAAATTTTCTAGTTCAATACTCGTTGTATGGACAAGAAATATGATTTTGATGTGTATAAAATTCTTGGAAATGTAGGGAGTTGCTGGGCATTTTCGACTATTGCTGCTGTGGAAGGAATAAACAAGATCGAGACTGGTTCTCTGATCTCACTGTCGGAGCAAGAGCTGGTGGATTGTGATACATCCTTCAATGAAGGATGTAATGGTGGTCTAATGGACTATGCGTTTGAGTTTATTATTAAGAATGGTGGCATTGACACTGAAGAAGATTATCCCTACACAGGCAGGGATGGGAAATGCGACACATACCGGGTTTGATCTGATATACTTTACGAGAAGGAATAATTTATTTATTTAAAGAAAAAGTAAGTAAAATTGATTTTATTTTGTTTATTTTGTATGCAGAAAAATGCCAAGGTTGTGTCCATCAATGGTTATGAAGATGTGACTCCATACAATGAGAAGGCATTGCAGAAAGCAGTTGCAAACCAACCAGTTAGCGTTGCAGTCGAAGCTGGCGGGATGGACTTCCAATTATATGAATCGGTAAAATTTTCTCCTTGTGAAAACAACCTATGAGCAATGAATGTTTCCCACTTTATCTTATTTTGTACATGTCCGGTTTTTAATGTTATCAGTCAAGTTAACATATAATACATTCTAGTTTAGTACAATGTTACTCTTAGTACATTATTGAGGTCAAAATCTGAATGTTAGCATTAGTTTATCTTAATGGCCGTGAATATTAACTTTTATTGATGGAGATTATTGCTGATAGGGCTTTTCCACCCAAGTTCTAGTTTTACTAAGATAAAAATCTCTGTAATTTTTCTCCAACATGTGTATTCTTAATAAATCAGAATGACATATCAAGTTCCTAAAATGATTTCATTTCAAATCTCCACAGGGTATATTCTCGGGGAAGTGTGGCGTTGAACTCGACCATGGTGTGGCTGTTGTTGGATATGGAAGCGAAAACGGTGTTGATTATTGGATAGTGAGGAACTCATGGGGGCCGAGTTGGGGAGAGAAGGGATACCTTAGAATGCAGCGTAATGTGGTTGCAAAATCCGGTCTCTGTGGTATTGCAGTAGAGCCATCTTACCCAACAAAGACGGGCCAAAATCCTCCCAAACCTCGTCCATCTCCTCCATCTCCGGTCAAACCACCCTCAGCTTGTGACGAATACTCCGAGTGCCCTGCGAGCACTACCTGCTGCTGTGTCTATGAACTTTATGGTGGCGCCTGCTATGTTTGGGGATGCTGCCCTCTTGAGGGTGCCACCTGCTGTGAAGACCAATCCAGTTGCTGCCCCCATGATTATCCAGTGTGCAACGTTAGGGCAGGCACCTGTTTAGCGGTAAATAAACTATGTTTATATATTTATTGAATACTTGGTATGCAGTACTGGACTGGACCCTATAATGAACAAAAGTGCTTACATGTAACTTTCTAAATGTTCAGAGCAAGAACAACCCGCTTGGAGTGGAGGCAATGAAGCGTATTCTTGCCCAGCCAATCGGGACTTTTGGGAGCGAAGGCAAGAGGAGCAGCTCTTGAACGACTAGATGAAGATTTGAACTGGCCAACGAGGAAAGTAAAACTCAAATTTGTCAATGACTGGATCGTTTTAGTTGTTTGCATTGCAATTCTCATTTAGCCATTGGGGATTGCGAGGCAAAGGATAATGAAATTGAAGTTTTATGATCTGCTTTGTCCATACTAATGCTCTGTATTTGTAATACTGCATTCCACACAAAACTGATTATTGTTCTGAGTTATGTGATTATGCAAACAATTCTCCATCTTCATTAATGAACAGGAAGTTGCATCTGTTAATTAGCTGATTCCTTGTTCTCCCTGCACTCGAGTATTTTCTGTTAGTAGCTTCATTCTAGGGGCACAATGTTTTCATTAAAAGAATAAGCCCCCCGGAGTTGGCTGCCGCGGAAAGTTGAGAATCAAGATGTAGGTGGTTTCTCTTTTAATAGTGAGCCAAACTAGAGCTGATTGGTTTAGTTTTTCGTCGTGCAAGGAATCACGTTCTCTGCAGAGGATGTTAGTCAAGTTTTAGTTCCGTTTCTTCAGTAGGGAGTAAATTTTTTGGCTCTCGTGGAAGCAATGAAAACCCAAAATTCATTTCATTTCACAAATCAATGACTGAAATAGTGAGAGAGAGAGAGAGAGAGAGAGAGAGAATCATTTCAAAACTGAAGACTACTAGATGTCCAGTTATTTTCATTGTTAAATTTTTTGTGAAAGTAAAAAATGGTAATTAGTGTTTAATTTTCAAACTCAAGTGAAAAAAAATGTTCATTTTCAAGTGGAAATCACGCTGCATACCACAACTTAAACATGGTGCAATTAATCAATCCCTTCGTTAATGCTCAAAATCCCCAACCAGTGCACACACTTTAAGTTCCCATCATCCTGATCCAAACCCTAAAAATCATCAATCCATATTTCAAATCTTCTCCATATCTTCAGCGATGGGAAGACACAAAATTTAACATTGCACGATCATTGTAATGATAGAATTTAATCGGCAATGCAGCCATACAATCGAATAGATTTATTCAATTGTCTAGATAGATAACACATTCAAATATGCAAACAGTCATTAGATATCTGAATCTCGCTTAATGTTTCCATATGTGACTCAATGGGAGAGGTTGCTTGAACGTTCTCCTATTGTGTCCCTTTCCACTGCACCGTCCTCGGGTGAAAGTTGTTCGTTTTCTTGACTTTTTAGGACTACTAGATTCCATATCTACATCCACACAATAAGAAAATATCACAGGTGTATGCTAAACGCAAGGGATTGTGAAACTCAAATACTAGCACTAGCAATTTTTTCTGGAGAGATTCATTATCCATTCGACCAGAAAAAACCCATTACAAAACGATAAAAGGAGATGCTTACTACACAAAAAACCATATAGCAGAGCATCATAATCAGTGAATCCATAATAAACAAAGCACACCCACGATGCATAGTCACTGAAAATTTATTTTAGTTGATTACACATTACTACATAACTAATTCTGAGGGGTACTTTTTAAATTGACCTAGTCAAAGTGCCATATTTCCATTTTGACTTTTCGATTCATTCATATTTTCACAATGACCTATCTAATGGCAAAAGACAAAAACACCCTTAAGTGTATAAAATAATTACAAAATTTTGTTTTGTTTAAAAGATAATACTACACTTCAGTTAACAAATAAAAACCAAACACTCTCTACGTAAAATTTCAAAATCAATTAACTCTTGTTATCTATTTATTTCAATACAGATAAAAACTCTCATATTTCATCTGTTTCAACCATAAAATTTGAAAAATTTATCAAACGCTGAAGCCTGAATTTTTTTATATAAATCATTTCGAATCGGTAAATATATATACGTATGTTTAATTTCATTTTCATTAAATCAGTATACGTTTTAATCGTTAAATTTATTTTGACATAGATAGTTAATGTAGATAATTTTTTTAACAGATCTAAATTTTTCTAAACATGAACGAGATAAAAATTTATCATCTTTTAAACAAAATTGATCTGATGAGAAACAGTCGGACGACTGTTTAAACAAACGATCGTTTGTTTAAACAGCCACCAACATGTGGCACAATGTGAATGATTATTAGGTGACAAATTAACTCATCAGGACCATATTAAGCAGAAATGGACAAAGAAAAAGGGAAGTACGAGACATATCACATCTTGTAATGAAAGGGTCCACTTCCACCTTTTTATAACCTTACTTATTACAACTCATTTTTGTGGAATAATGTAGCACTGTCAAATAAAGAAAGTTAAGATAAGGGACCATCCAATTTGTCCAACGAATAACTCAATGTCGTGTTCTTCAACTTAATCCCAACTCTATATTTGTCACACTATCTTTTTTCATTCTCTTTCCAAGATTCGCACGTAATTATATTCTTGACTATAATCGTGAATTCTTAATAAGTAAAATTCAAACATGACAGTGTAAATAACATTTCATGACNATAATACTACACTTCAGTTAACAAATAAAAACCAAACACTCTCTACGTAAAATTTCAAAATCAATTAACTTTTGTTATCTATTTATTTCAATACAGATAAAAACTCTCATATTTCATCTGTTTCAACCATAAAATTTGAAAAATTTATCAAACGCTGAAGCTTGAATTTTTTTATATAAATCATTTCGAATCGGTAAATATATATACGTATGTTTAATTTCATTTTCATTAAATCAGTATACGTTTTAATCGTTAAATTTATTTCGACATAGATAATTAATGTACATAGTTTTTTTAACAGATCTATAATTTTTCTAAACATGAACGAGAAAAAAATTTATCATCTTTTAAACGAAATTGATCTGATGAAAAACAGTCGGACGACTGTTTAAACAAACGGTCGGCTGTTTAAACAGCCACCAACACGTGGCACAATGTAAATGATTATTAGGAGACAAATTAACTCATCAGGACCATATTAAGCAGAAACGGACAAAGAAAAAGGGAAGTACGAGACATATCACATCTTGTAATGAAAGGGTCCACTTCCACCTTTTTATAACCTTAATTATTACAACTCATTTTTGTGGAATAATGTAGCACTGTCAAATAAAGAAAGTTAAGATAAGGGACCATCCAATTTGTTCAACGAATAACTCAATGTCGTGTTCTTCAACTTAATCCCAACGCTATATTTGTCACACTATCTTTTTTCATTTTCTTTCCAAGATTCGCACGTAATTATATTCTCGACTATAATCGTGAATTCTTAATAATTACTATTCAAACCCGACAGTGTAATTAACATTTCATGACTTATATATTGAGAAGAGTACCAAGTAAAATTTATATCTATTTTCAATAAAGATTAAAGTTAAATAAATAAACTTTCAATTAAATAGTTAACATGTTATAAGAACATATATACAGAAGGCCTAGTAAATAAACTTTTATCTATTGCTAAGAAACTCATTCACAAGAACAAATATTTCTTCCTACTATACTTCAAGAAATAGTTGAAGAACTGCATGCGAAAAGGATCTTTAAATCATTTTCATCAGGTTTACTATTGCAGATCAAACACTTCCTTATGGAAGTTTATTCCAGTATTCAAGACTAGATAGATTGTTCCTGTTTGAATTGGATTTAGCTTCTAGAAAGAATGATCAGAGTTTATCCTTCTCTCTGATAGAGTTATCAGAGATGAATATATCATGATATATGGGTGGAGATTGATGTGTGTAATTTGTATAGACGAAGTGAAGGAAATATTAAATAATATATACTTAAACAGTTACTTTACATGGTCAAGCTACTAACCAACAAAAGCCTACACACTAGTGCTCTGCTTCTCTAGAATGTCCAAATCCTAATTATCTTCAAATTGTAGTCTATAGTTTAAGAAATTTTGATTCTTTTCTTGAGATGGCTCTATCTTGATCATTTGAATGGCAGTAAATCCTGCACATTAGTCGCACTTGATATCATGGCATGTATTCTTTAATGGCTGCTGCCATGGCATTGAAGGCAATTAGGCAAATGAGTAGGAATATTGGACCATAAGGATTGTGCTGCAGTAATGCCATTTTGTGGGCTGTTGTGCCCTAAGTTGATGGACTTGATAGGGGAACAATGATTTGTCGGTTCTTCACAAGTCCGTCTTTTCGATCCAATCATCTGATGTTTGTTCTCATTTCCATATTCTGTTTCATTCATTTTGATAAGATTGTTGGTCGGCTTATAGTTGTATGGGTCTTGGAATGGTAAACACGGTCTTTGTATCGCGTATATGCTTGGTATGCTCAGGAGATAGTTGAATTTCCTCTGTATGCTTATTACAAAGTTAAGATCTTCAGCAACCTAAAAAACCCAACAAATTATCGGAACTAGTGTCGTTTGTGCGTAAACACACATAACATGTTCGGAATATGGGATAATCGACATGGAGATAGTGAAGTACCTTGTTGAATGAGCCCAGCTGAATTATCCCTTCTCTGACAGATATAATTGCAATAGTCTGCCAAAGATAGAAACTTCATACTTTAATTTTGATATAACAGAACAAAAAGTACATTTTACACTGAAATTTTTCGGACCTGAATGCCTGAATTGAATTGCATCTCCCATGCTCTTGGTTGCTGCAAAGAACGTACAAAAAGACTACTGAAAATTATTCCAAGAGATTTTGGGCTGTAAGAAATTTCTTTTCAATTTTTGCTTACAGGATCAATGGATACATTCCAAGAGGAAATGAAAGTAGGATCATTTTCATCGAGGCTATCTCCAAACACCCATTTATGACTATTATCTGCTGCAACTTTACCCACCAATCTGCAAAAAAAGTAAAAACATGCAACAACCTAGATTTGCTGTAGTATCAAAATAGTCAAAGATTCTAAGTTCGACTCTCGCTGCCACCCATTCATGAAAAATCGTGCATGTATTGGACCTTTGATAAAAAGTGAACTGAGTAGACGTGTTGAAGATAAAGATTGAATACACCTCGTGACTATAACGGATCAATTAACAAGATTTTTTAGCAC